GTCGGACTGACCTGGGGATGTCGTCTGGTTTTACTGGACTGTCTGCATGGGGGATGGGAGAGCAGGGGGTGACTTTAGGTGAGGGACAATACCTGAGCCAAGGGGGGGTGGGGCCAGGTGACACCTTGGCCCGGGAAACTGGACAAAGGGAGAGGAGGAGCCGGGAGAAGGGGAGTGAGACGGCTGGGGGGGGTTTCAGTTCTGGGCTGGCTGGGAAGAGGCAGGGAACCCCAAGCCAGGGGTCTAAGCTCCCAGCCCCCCAGAAGGGTGACCAGACAGCAAGTGTGAAAAATCAGGACAGGGCGTGGGGGTTAATAGGAGCCTATATAAGAAAAAGACCCAAAAATCAGGACTGTCCCTATAAAATCGGGACATCTGGTCACCCTATCCCCCAGAAGGACTCGGCTGAGGGGTCCTGGTGGTACCTACAAGCCCTGCTTGGGATCGTGTTCCTGTCGTCTAATAAACCTTCTGTGTTACTGGCTGGCTGAGAGTCCCGGGGAATCGCAGGAAGTGGGGGTGCGGGGCCCTGACTCCCCCATGCTCCGAGACACCCGGGCTCGAGCCTGGGCCCCAGGGCTGGGTTCGAGGTCCCTGCCCCTGCAGTTCCCGAGGTGACCAGCAGGTGGAACCAGCCGGAGGGTGACGGGCTCTGCGGGCGGCTCCCGGCCCCGCACTCACCTCCCACTCGCACACCGAGGGCTTCCTCGCCATCCTGTCCAGCAGCTCCTCCCCCGTGCAGCTGGGGGCCCGTCAAGGAGAACAACCACAGCCGCCCGCTCGCGCCCTGCCGGGACCCGGCCCCGCGAGCCCCCCCATGGCTGCTCCCTGCTGGGACCCCGGGGCTGTGATCTCCCTGCCCCCACACGGCCGCGTCCCGTCACTGCCATCTCAGACTGCACCACGTGGGTCTGCAGTGCTGTGAGCTTCCACAGAGCAGTGCCCTGCAGGTGCCGGCGGGGACCCAGGCAGGCCATGGGGCTGTTCCCATCCCATGCCCCGGCGGATACAGCTCCATGACAATGATCACGGCGTTTTTCTTCTCGAAGGAGTCGTGGAAGTAGACGAGGCGCTCGTGGTCCAGCTGGGACAGGATCTGCAGCTCCCGGCGTGCCGACTGCTTGGCCTTGGCCCGGCAGGGAATGAACTTGGCAGCATAGTCCAGCCCGCTGCTCTTCTCCCTCACCCTCCGCACGTAGGAGAAGGCCCCCCTGCAACACACGGGGAGCTGCAGCCGGCAGGAGGGTGGGCCAGGCTCGGCGGGGGGCTGGCAGGAGCCTAGGACGTGGTGTGGGCACCAATGGAGGGGCTGGCAGGAGGGCAGGGGCAAGAGGCTGGGACACCGTGGGGGAACCTGTCTAGGGAGGGGCTGGGGGGAATCTAGGACCCAGGGGCAGCACGTGGCGGGGCGAGGTGGGGGGCTGAGCACTGGTAGGGAGGCTCAGGTTTTCGCTCTTAGCAGCGGGTAAAGAAGCTAAGAACGGCTACCATGGGTCAGCCCCATGGTCCATCCGGCCCAGCGGCCTGCCTCTGACAGCGGCCGGGGCCAGGTGCTTCGGGGGGACTGAACAGAACAGGGCAATTATCGTGTGATCCAGCCTGTCGCCCATGCCTGGGTTCTGGCACTGAGAGCAGGGGGCTGTACCCCCGCCCATGGATGGACTTAGCCTTCGTGAACTTAGCGAATACTTTTTTGATCCCTGTTATAGTCTTGGCCCTCACAACATCCTCTGGCAAGGAGTTCCACAGGCTGACTGGGCGTTGTGTGAAGAAACACTTCCCTATTCACGCTCCACCCCCGCCATGATTTTATAGCCCTGTCAGATCCCCCCCATCGTCGTCTCCTTCCCAAGCTGAACAGTCCCAGGCTTTTTCCTCTCTCCTCCCATGGAAGCTGTTCCAGACTCGTCAGCATTGTGTTGCCCTTCCCTGCACCGTTTCCAATGCTAATGTCTCTTTTGGAGACGGGGTGACCAGCTCTGCCCGCAGTATTTTAGGGGCGGGCGAACTGTGGATTTAATAGCAGCATTATGGTATTTTCTCTGTCTTCTCTCTCCCTTCCCTAACGGCTCGAACGCGCCATTCGCTTTGCTGGCTGCTGCTGCCCACGGAGCGGATGTTCTCGGAGAGCGGAGATCTCCCATGGGACCAGCGAGCCCAGCCCCATGGCTCTGACTGGCTGGCTGGCCCCACATTTCCCGTGTCTGTCTTTGCACTGTCGACGCTCCGTGGGTCACCAGACAGCCAGGGCTGCAGGGCAGGGGGGAGCTCCCCAGCTGCAGGGACACCCCCCCCCCGCCCCCTGAGACTCCAATCTCCCACGCCAGCCTGGGAGGTGCTGAGTCGGGCAGCCTCTGACTCCTCCCTCCCCCAAAATGGGCCTGAGGAGCCCCGGGCCACGATTCCGTGACGCAGGGAGGGGAGCCCACCCGCTGTGGGTGGGACGAGCTGCTGACCCCCCTGGGCTTGCCAAGAGCCATCCCCATGGGGGCTGTTTCCCCCCAGCCCCGGCACCGAGCACTGCCAGGCTCAGGAGAGAAGCTGGCGCCAGGCCATGGACATGGAGCTGCCCTGGGCTCCCAGCGGTGCCCTGCTCTGGGGGCTGAGACACCCTGTCCCTGCCCCGGCCCGGCGGGAGACCCAGCCCTAGTGCCTGGGAGCAGGGACTCAGGGCCGAGCCCGGGTGCCAGGCCAACGGAGGTCAGTGCCCTGCAGTGCGACCGCCTCGGGACGGCCCCTCGTCAGAGGCACCCGCCTCACCTCCCGATCTCCTCGTGCACCTCGTAGTCGTCCGTCAGCCGCCGGGCCGCGTGCCCCTCCTCCGCCACCACGGCTGCTGCCTCCGGCTGGGCTGGAAGGCAAGGAGAGCCACGGCATGAGGAGGGAGGGGAACGGCCATGGCACCAAGGGGGGCAGGGTGCCGGTCGGGGTGACAAAGCAGGGGGTTTTCTGGTTTTTCCAGTGGGTTGCATGCAGGGGTGGGGTGGGACTCAGTGTCCCTGGGTGTTACTGGTTTAACGAGGTGAGGGGAGAGGGAGTTTGTTGTTACAGAGGACCGGAGAGGGAACTTGGGACCCCAGCCGATGGCCTGGAGGATGGAGACCCCAGCGACCGGTGACCTGACGACCCGGAGACCCAGCTCAGGAGTCACAGCCGGTTCTGGCCAGTGGGAGGACAATGGGCTGTAAAGAGAGGACCCTGGTGACCGGACCAGCCGGTTCCAGCCAGAGGGGCCAGAGGACAGAAGCGAGGAGAGGAGGCCCCGGTTTACGACCCTGTTTACCTGGAGAGAAGACAATGGACAGAGGCGGGACTTGGGGCTGGGGGTATCAGATGCCCAGCTGGGAAGCAGGGGGCTCGGGGCTGGAGAGGGGGGAGCAGGCAGAGCCCACCTGGATGCAGGGGAGACTGGGATGTGCTGGGCTGAGGGAGGCCAGGCCTGAGGCCCTGAAAGTTTCCGGTGCTGGGTTCAAATGCCCAATAAACCCTCCTGTTTTACACTGGCTGAGAGTCACTCCGGTCTAGAGAACAGGGGGGGCATCATCCCCTTTGGGGGTGGAGGCCCAAGGGGCCCAGAGCGAGGGAACTCCCTGAGGGGGCCCACGGCAGAGACAGACGTGGTAAGGCTCCAGGAGATGGAGGGGTTTAACCCCTGAGAGAGAGTGGACCCCCGAGAAGGGCTGTCGCACTGAAGGGGGTTCCCCCCACGGACCGCACAGAGCTGAGAAAGACCACGAGTCTTGTGAGCCCGTGAGTGTGGGACCAGCCATGGCACCGAGTGGGGCGGGGTGCCGGCGGCGGTGGGACTGGCCGGGGCTGGGTGCCGGGGCAGAAGAGGACTGGGGGTGGGAGGGTGGAAGGGCCATGGCAAAGCCCTCGTCGCTACCCTCTCCCGCACTGGAGACAACCAAATGTTCCACAGTGGCGCCTAGTTGCCAAGGTGATGGGCATCTGGACAGAGGGATGCAGCCCCCGGCTCAGGCTAGCTGGCATTGCAAAGAGCCCCTCCCCAAGGCCTCCGGGCTGCTCCCCGATGTGACGAACTGGGACTATTCTTGAAGTGGTCTGTGAATGCTGACAGGGGAGTGTGGCTAGGATGGTCTGCATTGGGGGATGGGAGACTGACCGACGGAGAATACCTGAGCATGTAACATGAGAACCCAGGAGGGGGTTAGAGGCCAGGTGACACCTTTGCCCGGGAAACTGAACAAAGGCTGTGGGAGGGGTCGCTGAAGGCAGAGGGTTGGAGGAGCTGGCTAGTGACCATGGCTGGGAGGCAGACGGGGCTCTGATCTCCCAAGGGGGCTAGGGTGCCTGGGGACCCCAAGATGGACCTAACTGTGGGGGGTCCTGTTGTCTGCGCCTGCAAGACCTGTCTTGGACTGTGTTCCTGTCGTCTAAATAAACCTTCTGCTTTACTGGCTGGCTGAGAGTCATGGTGAATCGCAGGACGCCGGGGGTGCAGGGCCCTGAGTCCCCCACACTCAGTGACACCCCTCCCCAGGCCTGGCACCGTACCCCAGAAGTCGAGGGGCTGGGGGACCTGGCAGGGCCCTACCTGCGCGCACCAGCAGCTCGGCCTTGCAGGAAACCTCCCCGGCCAGGTTCCGGGCGGTGCAGGTGTAGACGCCGCTGTCGCGGGCCGTGGCGCCCAGCAGCACCAGGGAGCACTCACTGTCGTCGTAGACAAAGGTCAGGCGGCTGCTCTCGGCCAGCAGCGCCTCGTCCTGGGGGGAGTGTGAGCGTCAGGCACCCCCAGCACAGCCACCCACTCCTGGGGCCCGCATAACCATTGGCCCAATGCCAGGGGCGCCACCACCTGGCGTGGCAGCCAGGGGTCCTGGCCCCCCACAGCTGGGATCCAGCCCCCTTCCAGAGCACCCGGGACCCACCTTCCTCCTGGAGAACCCTGGGTGACCAGGACCCCTGTTCCCTTGGGGGGGCAGGGCTGGCACAGCAGGGGGCTGCGGGTCAGGAGTGAGGGGCACCAGCAGAGCTGGGGGTGGGGTAGCAGGGGGCCGGGGTGGGGTAGCAGGAGCTGGGGGGTTGAGGGGCTGGGGAGCCCAGGGCTGGGTGAGCAGGGGCTGTGGTTTGGGATCAGGGGCACCAGCAGAGCAGGGGGGCAGGGCTGGACTGGCAGGGGGCTGCGGGTTGGGATCAGGGGTCCCATCCATTGACTGGCGTCCCTGGGCTCCCTCACGTCCCAGGGAGGCCCAGGGCTCACCTTGTACCACATGATGTCGGGCAGCGGCTTGCCCTCCACCACCACGGCGAAGCGCGGCGTCTCACCCTCCCCGACCTCCAGGTCCTCCATGATGGACTCGAAGCGCGGCGCCTCTGGGGACCGAGAGACGTTCCACTCCTGAGCGCAGGCAGGAGCAGGTGGCTGCCTCCTCGCCCTGGCCTGCAGGGGCCCAGGCTCCGCCCCCAGGCTGGGAGGGGTGTGGCCTGCAGGTGCCCAGGCTCCGCCCCCCAGCTGCTGTGTGTGACTGGCTCAGCCCAGGCTCCGCCCCCGGCTGGGGTGTGTCGCTGGCTCATGCCCAGGCTCCGCCCCCGGCCGGGACGCGGGATAAGGACCCCTCACGTACCTGCCAGCTGCAGGCTGATGGAGCAGCTGTCCGCGCCGTGCCTGTTGCTCACCTCGCAGGTGAGCTCCCCAGCGTCCCCGCGGTGCACCTGGCAGAGCCGCAGGCAGTGCTGGTCGTCGTCAGCCATGCTCAGCTCACACGCGCCAGCCCGCTCCTCGAGCGCCAACCCGCCCCTGCCGGGGGAAGGACACCCCGTCACCCAGCGCCCCGCCCCCACAGCGC